AGAGTTGATGGCCGCAACAAATCCTTCTGTCTCAGTTAGTGTAGTACAGGCGGACTCCAGTTTTGTTTTGAAGATATCCCAGCCAGTATAATGCATTGTGGTACGCCACTTCAAGCAATGCTATCCTTGAAACGTAGTGTAAGTGGGCACGTGATCACTCCCATGAGTTTCAATATCAGCGAACCACCTGGCTCCCTCAGCGAGACATGAAGACACGATTGATAAATCTAGAGAGCTACTCGTAGATGCACGTCTGAAATACGTCGACTACCTTCATTAAGAATCGCAAGGTCATATTTTAGTGTAACGTCAAATAAGGCTTGTCCTCGAGCATTAATTTTTCTGCTTCCCCATAATGAGTGGTGGCTATTGAAATCTCATGTCAGAAAATGGGGTGATAGGATTTGCTGTAAAATTGTATCCAGGCTCTGAATGTCCAAGGCTGCTCGAGGAGGTATATAGCTAGCAATAAATTTGAATGAAATGTCTTCTATCTTAACAGTCGCTGCAATATACTCATTTGTAGGGTGCGACGGAATAACGTGTTGAATATAGGCCAGGTCCTTTTGAATGCCGACCAAAACTCGGCTAAGACCAGTTGTTCTGTGGGAATGAAAAAACTCGTACCCTGATAGTCTGATACTGTGCGTCACTCGCGACTCTGATATTGCGATAATAGAAACAGGATATTTTAATATGAATTGTCTAAAATCCGAGAGCCGATGTCGAAGGCCTGTCGCATTCCACTGAAGGACGGTGGCATCTCTACGAAGCTTGTCTAATGACACCAGATCATAACAAGCGGAAGTATGGCATCTAGCATGGTTAATAGTGCTTGGGCTATAGGAGAATCCCATGAACGAAGAAGCTTACGGACAACGTTGGTGATGGTTTGGAGACTGACCCTGGACATAGGTGGTTGCTCCCTGGTTGATGCCCTTGACTGGTCCCTCCTGGGCTGCCTATTTTCTTTATCTTCGACACGCGAAGTTGATGCAGATCCAGGAAGTGCTGGAAATTTTTTGTCATCCTTTAGCTGCAAAGTAGGAGCTGTAGCTTCTATGGATTTTGAATAGGTCTTGCCTTTTTTCACGATGGATTGCTGCGTTGACGGGGAATCTCGTTGAGCACGAAAATCGTGAGGTGCGACGTCGTGTCTTGCTTCGTTGACTGCTGTCTTTTCATGGCCAGTGGATATCTGATCTTGTGTAGACCGTAGAGCCTCTTTTGCTGAGGTATAACCAACCTTAGCTTCGCTCTTGTACCTGCATATTTTCTGCTCTCTTTTGTATGCCGGGCACAAACGAGATGTAGAGTCGTGTGCTTTGTGGCAGCTCATGCAGAGTGGGTCTTACGCTTCGCACTTGGAGCGATCATGGGGTCCCCCGCAGCGAGCGCATCGCGATTCCCTTGTACAGGCGGTTCGAACGTGCCAAAAACGGTTACATTTGGAGCATTGACGTGGTTTCTCGATGTACGGTTGTGTTTTGTATTATGTGTATCCAACTGTAACGTACTCTGGTAGAGTGTCCGTGCTAAAGACGAGCTTGACGGTCTCGGATTTACCCAGTCGTCGGATGGAGATAACAGGTGCAGTAGTGCGAACTGCCAGTTGAAGTTCGACCTTGGTGAGGTCTGCTGGTACTTCGTAGATCACCCCGCCTGCCGATTCTCGTGGGAGCGGTTCGTAAGCCAGGACAGCGATCCCGTCTAGTGTGGTGAGTGCAAAGAGAGCTTTCGTAGCGTCTTTATTTCTGGTGTCAATTGCCAGGACGTTGAGTCTTCGGTTTGGCCTCACCAGGATCACCCCGTCTGGAGCAGTCATGTCCAGTTTTTCTTGAATTTTCTTCGGGTTAATGGTTGCGATCACTTTGTCTGGATCTTTGGGTCTGGCTACCACCGTGAGGTGGGGATCAGTATGATTCATAGTCTTGACGGTCTTGTCGCTTGACTCCGAACTAGATGAGGCTTTGCGTCTCTTTCGGTACTGAACGAGCTGAAAAGGTGTCGAGTTGGCGTCCAGCTCGTCAGAGATGCTCTCATGGTGAGAGACTGTGCTTGAAGCGCTTGACATACCCAATGATGGCCGCTCAGCCTGTCCATCCAGTTCCATTTCGATCGATGGTGAGCCTTGGCCGGCGGGATGACCCGCCTCAGCCATGGTCGGTGACCGTTGCGTCAATAGCGAGGATCGTATCGTCTTTACCTTGAATTACCAGCGAAAATCTTGAATAAAGACACCATATAGCAGGAAAACCTCGATAGCAACCAAGGTAAATCCGACTTGTTCTTTCCTTGAGTCGCGAATCGAAGAACGGGTAAGTGCACGCCCCACTTATGGCAACCACGTTCGCGTCAATTCGGCCATATTTCTTAAAAGCCACAAAATATTGCATTACGTTCTTGCAGGCTCTGTTCGTACGTATTATAAACGTAAATTTCAGAGAGTTTAAATGATATCAAATATGGCATTTTCTAAATTAATTTAAAATAATGCATTTTTAATTAAATGCCTCTGTGTGAGCAATTCTTGTGAATTCCTCCCGCTAACCAGGAAAACAATATTTCACGCAAAGCTTAACTATATTCAGAGCAGCACACTGGCAAAGGTTTAGGACCTTAGCTTTTTTAGATACGGAGAAAAATATTCTTCAATCCAGAGCGTTACTGCCGGAATTGTTTTTCTCAAAATAACTACCCTAATACTCGGTGATTAATGCTTTTTGTCAATCCTTCTTATGCCTAAATTATCAGTGAATATTTCTAGACCGGTAGCAAGAACAGTAATTTGGGAAATGCCGCCCGAAATGTCAACATCGGGCAATACGCAAAATGCGCACGTGACTGAGAGGGGGTACTTACAAATTTTTTTTCGCCAAGACAAAGACTTTTTTTCTGAAAGCAAGGATTGGTTTTATTGTTCTGGGCATGAAGCCAGCAAAATATAATTTTTTCATCAAATTTAAAAATGGCCACCGGAGACGTTTGTTCGATCTTTTCTGAAAACGCCCAGTAGTTAAAAAAGAAAAAAAAAAGTCCCGAAGACCAAGATAAGCAATTTATGCAGAAAATTTGAATGGTTAACGGTATGCACACACACACACAGACACACACACACACACAAAAAAAAAAAAAAAAAGAAAACAGTATCCTGAAACGCTGCGTTCAAATAATCGGTATTGTCCTCTAAGAGAAGTTGCCTGGCCTTCTCAGGTACACAACCGTATTGCGATTTGGATATCATGAGGTGTCTGCCCAAAATACTGCTCATCACAAAAATAGGTGTTTCTCTAACAGGTTTACTAAGACGGGAAATATTGATATGGAGCGGTAATTCTTTATCACATTTGGTTTTCGCCCTTAAAAATGGGTCAAGCAATAGCCACTTTGATCTCTTTCTTAATTTTACGTGTCCTTATGAAACCGTTGGTCATAAAAAGAAGCACGTGTTTTAAAGAGGCAAAGTTAATTTGGAGAAAACCAACGGTAATTCCATCGGCTCCAAATCATCTAGCCCACTTCATACTAACCAGAGCCGACTTTCAAAGCTTCTTCATCCATATCATGAAGAAAAGCAGACGAGTTCTTTGTATCTTTCAATGATACTTCCTAAACACAGCCACTAGGGGATTTGTCTGAAGAAGTGGCGAAGAACGTGTTAAGCTTTTCCGCGTTCTCCTTACTATTGTCGAAAAAAATTTGAATATGACGTCACCAATTGAACGCTAACTGTAGTGATCTCTAAGACCTCTCACAAGGGACGAAGTTTGTGAAATATTAGAACGATTTTCTGCCAACCTTTTTTTTTAAATGAATTCACTTAGAGAAGCGTACGTGGGCATTGACATTGTTCCTGGCGGCATGAAATTCCGCGCGCAATGGGACATTTTGAGACCCAGCAAAAAAAATGGGGTCGGCCATTTTTTGCGAAATTACTGCCGATTTCAGTGTTGCTTCTAACGTCCCGACACAAATATGGTAAGTACACGAGGACACCAGTCTACCGCCCACCATCTCTTATATGGTTGGTGCACTGAAACCGCTTTCAAAACCTACGCCAGCAAGTGTTAGGGTAGTCACAAACATCGGATGTTTAATCTTTCAGCAAATCTATGTTGATACATCGTACGATGCAAAATAATACTCGACAGCAGCTCGCGCCAAATGTCGCTGTGAGCTCATGAAGACATTGCCCGTATCTTTTCGAAGGAGGTCTATAGCGAACTAAAAGACTAAAATAGTGGAAGGAGGTGTCAATTTTCAAGAAAATACATTCTGCGTAACAGAAAGTTACTTCCTGACTTCAGACATAGTTATTCCCTTTTCGAATTTACTAGCATTCCCCCTTCAATTGAATACTCACGAGAAAACTAAAAGGAATTGTAACCCAATAACTGGTAAAGATCCCACAAAGCTTCCAGTTCGTTGGATTCCGTTAAAACAAGAGCGTTAATGCGAGGCATAACTTCAATAACCATCACTTTAAGACACTCCCAGTACTTTTTCAAACTTCAAATGTTAACGTACAGAACAGAAATTGAGTGGTAGGGTGCAGCGAGCAACCGCTTCAACTTATCGAAGTCCTTTCACGTATTGAAAGCTACTGCTGCTAACTAACACAGTTCTTTCTCTCCAGCTCCTGAACATTGTTGATACGGACGATGTGCACATTTTCGATTTTCTTCGTAAATTCCTCCCGACTTTACCCACAGAAACTACTACTGCATTCCCTTCCCCTTTACTCTAGCATTCCAGAAAAGTTCCCTGCATGACAAATGCGGGTGTTCGTTAAAAAGTACTCTTGAAAGAGCGTCCGAAGAAGGCAGCTTCGGCAGTCTACTGCGTTAGACAAAGGCAGCTTGCTTAAGGTGTACCCACTAATCTTTCTAATCAGAACTCGGCGTTCTGTCGTCCCCGTACGGTCTCGTCCACTTTTCTCACTTATTTTCTCGGCACATATGTTCTAACATTAACTTGCTCGTAAATTATTTTTATTTCAGCGAGAATATCACACTGCAAATGAGAGCTCTGAATCAAACTGACTACCAGCTTGAAAACGTTATAAGGGCAAACTTCAAAGGTATGTATATACTCCAACCATGCTTTAAAAAAGAGGGGGGGGGGGGTGGATATAGCCTGAAAGGGTAACCTTTCAAGGCTTCATTCAAATTTATTCAGATTTTAGAACGAATTAGTCCAATTGGGAATTATAAATTCCGAAGTTTCAGCCTTACCGATTATACAGCATCCTACGCTTCTCAAGTTATAGAAAAGACGTGACTTCATTAGGAAATGTTTAAAAAATTAATTTTGTAGAAATTAGTACAAGTTGAAGTTCAAATTGTAGCAAAGGCAATTCTAGAAAAGAAAAAGGAAACAAAAACACCCAGAAATTAAAACAAAAGTCACAGAAGTTTTATCATAAAAGATAGAGTTTTTTAGTTTTTTTAGACTGAGTATTTTAATTGGTTTTTGTTTTTTATGAAATTTTAGTTCAAGACATTCCTGCATTTAGTTTTTACGCTATCAGAACGTCAAATGATGCATTTCATCCTAACATATTTCCTGCTAAAAAGTGGAACTGAGAAAAATGCATTTGAAGTTTCAACTTCAGGTTTCTCTATTTTTTGAGTCTGCGGCATACAAAATTCACCTGAAGCATCGAAAGCACCTTCCTTTTTGAAACTTCATTGTCCCCATGGAATTAACTACCAGCTTGCGTCGTTTGTGAGCAAGCTATTTTTGGTAGCAGGCATTCCTCGACAGATAAACTGCCGAGAACCATGAGGCAAATGATACCAAAAAGCAGGAAAGTAGCAATCTGATCTGGTTTGGGAGATACTGTCAAAAGGTCACTGCTGAAGATAACAAACTATCACGTCACGGGGCAGGACCAATTGTAAGGCCCTATCTTGGGTCTCAACCAGTAAGATTGCTCATACAATATGTTTTACATTTTGTCTGTTTGTATTTATGGGGTTGTCCTGGCCACTGATTCTTTTAATCTTGGGAAGCTGCGACAAGAGAGATTTAAAGGAGAGGCGCTTTAAAGGAGGGTTAGATGATCTGGCTATGTTACACGAGAACGAAACAGGCCTAATTACAAAAGTGCGAATTTTCTTCTTGCTGCTCAAATAAAACTCAGCTGTGTTTGGACATTCGTGTTGTCCTATACCTCTGCTTTCCCACTCTACAGGGTTAAACGTGTCAGTTCTTCAAGAGCTCGCCTGCATCCTTGCATTAAAATTTGTTCAGACCCGTTACATTTGTGTCGAGATACTCTGTCATTTTGTTATGCGCTGGAGGACACATTCAGTGAAAAAGTTTTAGCAGGTTTCATTCACCATCATCGTACTGGCAGTATTTACTACATTGCGGTCATATGTTAGCCTGTTTCAGACGATCGTCTCATGACTTTAACTACCAAAAGTGGTAACCGTTTGCTTCAATTCCAAAAGTGCTGCTCTTGCATCTCCTCAATCTTGATCTATTAGCATTTTCAATCAAGTCAGGCTCAATATTAACACATTCTAGTGTCATGAAAAGCCAACCCAGTAATGATTCAAACAATTTTGTCCACAGGTGCTTCCAGTAAATTAAAGTGCTCGGAGATGATGCTCAGAAGTGAAAATTCGGAAAGTAACTGTAACAAAGCCAAGTTATCAGTCACACAAAAATTACTAAGTTCCATTTATACCGTATGTAAACTAACGCGTTCAATGCACTTCAGACGTACCGAAAAATCAGTTTATCAATTCATCAAACAGTGATTTACTAGAAAGGTGCAAACAAGTAGTGAAAGGCAGTAAAAAAAAATCAAGGAACGAGCTTACCTCATTCAAAAGAAGAGAAACAAAAAATGAAAGACGTTTACAAATCTCTAATGCGAAATTGGAGCGCAGCTCTTGAAAGGGCGGACGAAAGGGTACGAAGCGCAGGGTATGCCCCTCCTTCTCCTACGTACCCTCCACTCCTCCTTTCCTACTCCCGTCCTCCTCCTCTTCTTTTCCTCCTCCCCTCCTCCTCTATACCCTTCCCCCTCCCACAGTTTTTTCGCTAAATTTAGCTGGAAAAATGGCGTCACATGACTTCTTGTCACGTCACCCATAAACAAATTCAGTTTCTCTGCTAGATTTAGCGGGAAAACTGACATTACATGACCTCAACCCCAATTCAATTTCCAGCTAAATTTAGCGGGGCTGTTACGCCGACGGTGACACCGACGGCGCCTCCACTATACGGGGAACGGGCGCCTAAGAGCTGCGCTCTAAAACCTGTCCTGGCCAATCTACGCCGACTCTTCAGAGACAATGCACGCGTAGAGAGAAGATCTGCTCACAGATGTCGTATACGCCGCGTCGAGAGAGCGCTTACCGTTGATTGATAGCAGACGATCGCACAAAAGAACTGGAATCGGCCGGTGCTCCCTAGGCGCTACGTACGCCATCTGTTCGCCGCACTTCTCACTACGCGTGCATCGTCTGCTAAGTGACAGCTTATGGCCTATTCGTAGGGTGTGCATTTTCCGGTTTTAACAGAAAAACACCGATAAACATCCGTCGGTGACGAAAATATAAAATCGGTTAAAACCGAAAAACACCGGTGGTTGTATATTTACGCCCTGGTTAAAACCGAAAAACACCGGTCGTTGCTAGTTTCCGACCTAGCGAACCCTTTCCCCGTAGAGGTTCGTCAAACGTGTTATCTCGTGGATACTGCATTCTTCCAGTGTTTATACATGGCTTACAGGTGGCGTCAGTGCGCCCTCCTTTCTGGGGGTCAAAAGCGTCTAGTGAACCCAGTGGAAGCTAAGCTCTCATACGCCTTTCCTCTATTGTGTCTCCCATGGCCCCCTTTTGTGGAAAAATTAACACAGTGGAGGGTAGGCTCTCACGTGCCTTTTCCTCATTGTCTCTGGCCAAGTGATGTCGGTGCAAGCCATGTATTCAGAGGTTGCTGTGGTTTTACTGGAAGACACTGCCAACGTACGTTGTCGTACAGGAGTGTGCGTTTTCATAATTGCGGGTTGCGAACCGCAAGGAACGTGCTGCCATGACGGCAGCACGTTCCTTGCGTGTAGATGCAAGCATGAAAGTATGCTTGCATCTACTATGATAACCAAGTGTGAGAAATAGTTGCTTCCTAGAGAAGTGTATGAACTATGTGAATAAAATCGGAACTCTCTGTATGTGATCAATCGCTTTTTTTCACCGTTATTCACCGATTTTAGCCTTGTCGTGAGACGTTCCGCCGAAATACACCGGTGTTTTGAAAACAAATAAACACCGAAAAACATCCGCCGATTTTTCTCACAAATAAACACCGGAAAGTACACACCCTACCGGCTATTCGTCCGGGGGCACGCCGCACCCGTCCAGTGCAGTAAACACTTTCAACTTTAGTACACGAAAGAATGGCGGGGAGAGAAGGTAGCTCCCCTCTCCCATCTAGCCTTCCGTGTACCACGAACCGCACTGCACCGGTGCCATGCGTTCCCAGACGAATTGGCCATTAGATTGCCCAGTAAATATTTTTATTTTCTTTTTAAACGACTAAAGATCATTTCTGAGTTTTTTTTTTGTTGTTGTTGATGTTTTTCGCTGTAAAATGTCACCTCTTGTTTGCACCTCTGTAGAAAGTCGCAGCGCGATACGTTGAGTAACCGATTTTTGCAGGCAGTCTAAAGTTCCTTAGAAGCGATAGTTTACATGATGCTGTTACTAAAATGTTATTGTAAGTTGAGAAGTATTTAGTTAGAGAAATGTAACTAGCTACAGTAACTCAAATAGTTGTAATTACTTTCTTTATTGCTTCGCTTCACTGTCAGGTCAGGATTAGCCTGCAACCTGGGAGGATTTCAGTTGCCTAATCGTCTAAACGATATCAAAAGTGCGTTTAATTGCTTTTGTACCCCAAAATCAGGAACACTCCCAAATGCTACTCCAGTTCCCCCAGGAAGCTACACGTACGCTGAAAATGATAATTCCACCTGCTATTCCAGAAGTACTCCCTTTCCTGATAGGGGTAAGTTCAGGTTTTATGCTCGACAAGCGTAGACCTTGTTTCTGTTGGTGGTGTATCTAATTTGAATCACGAAAATTATTTTCTCACCCAGGAAATGCTCGAGACTATAGTGGTTCTACGGGGAATGTTCTAGATGAATTGTTCCCCTATCCGAAAAGTGCTGACGATTTTGACATGTATGTCGTATACAACGAGCCGCAATGTTATATCCTTAGGAATCCCGCAGCCTCACTAGGTAAGGTCATTAAAGCTTCAGCGAAATTAATGTCACATCGTGTTGTATTTCGCTAATTTAGATCAGTATAGCAGCTACAGTTTGCTTTATAACAGACGAAAAAAACAACCAAATTAAGGTTGCTTAGCGCACGAATCTTGAAGAAAACGAGTTGTCCATAAGGTATATTACGAAGGATTTATTTTGCGATGTTTTTATTCAGATTTGCGCGTAGACGCGTCCTACGTGCGTAAGACACATTTTACGTTTTGTGGTATGTTCAGTTTACATAGGTCGTGTCTAAACCCGTTGGTAATCATCAATGCCTCAAAGGTTCATGTTAACCAGAACAGGGGTACTCTTGGTACCAAAGTTTTGTTTCAACTAAAAACGAGTGCACCAAACATTGCCCAGTATCGCCCACAATCAACATTTGTTCAATTACGATTGCAGACGATGACTTCGCGGGACTGCAGTGAAATGTCTTATACTGCTGGTGTCGTGTGTGATTTCAAATACATTCAGAATGCTAGTGGAACTTAATTTCAACCTAAGTTCGTGCTAAGTGGGAAACTTGCAAGATAATTGAGAACGAGAGGTGGGCCCTAGTACAAAACAACAACAACATAATAGATGTTTTATGTATCTCTTGTGCAACAAGAGATGCATATGAAGATTTAATTTAGGAAGAGAACACCATCTGCCATCTAAGCTTCCCTGCGACCAAAACATCTGCGTCTATTCTTTTCTCACCATAGCTTGGCAAACGGCTAAGGCTACTGCCCGAGTGCACCAATCAGCGCGTAAAAACAAGACACGTGACTATACTCTATTTCACTATTTGAACGCAGTCCTGTCAAAGCCATGAGTAAGAGAGAGGGAAAGCCACTTTTGTACTAATTTTTTTTTTTTTTTTGTGAAGGGCTAATCTTCGAATGGGAGATTAACAACGTATGGGACACACAAAAGAGGGTTCGGGTTAAGAGGGAAGTTCCTTCGTCCTTTCCTCTCCAATTTCTCGGGTTGCGCTCTCTCTCTCTCTCTTCTGTCCTTGTTAAGGGCTGTCGGGTGCTTCACCGCCGTCACTTTGATTGGCTCGAGCGGGCCGTAGTTTTCGCTGTTTGCCGAGCAAACGTGAAACAATATATACAAAAGTTGGTTCCTGGGCTTCGCGGATGGTAGTCATCCACGTTTTGTACCGCCAGCCTTGTGTCTGTTGCACGAGGGCTAACTTTAGCGCACCTCCACACTTTACATGTGCATTAAATCCTTCAATTTTATAATGTAGTAGTATTTTATGACCCACAGCAAGTTTCCAATGGAACCATAAGTTTATTTTCACTGACTAAAAAGCTACCAAGCAAGTTTTAGTTTTTCGGTTTTTTTTTTTTGTTTTTAGTCCTACTTATCGTGACGATTAGCCCACTATAATATGACCCCCCGATTTTAGAACTCATCTGCACAAACAGGATAAGTGTACCTTTCATGTATTTTGGTATATGATCAGATTAAAATGAAACATCCTGCATATTTAACACATTCTCAAAACTGTCTGAGAGCGTGGTAGAAGTGCAGATTTCTACTTTTTTTTTAAAATAAATATTAAATTAATTGCAACAAGGTTTAGTCAAGTCTGAAACTGTTGAAATTAATTTAGCAGACTGAGTGGCGTTGGCCCTTTTAGTTGCAAACTATGGGCAGGTCGATGCCATTTCTTTTGACTTAACCAAAGCATTTGGCCTTGTGCACCATGATCTATGTGTGCACAAGCTATCGGAATATGAGGTGTGTTTGAGGTTTATTCAAATCTTTCCTGGTTCATTCGTGGTTTCATCAAATCTTTCCTGGCGCATCAACAACGCTCGTGTTAAGAGTGTGTTATCGAGATCATACATATAATCTGGCGTTTCCCAGGCTCTATTCTAGGACCCTTGCCGTTGAACATTTTCCCAACGATGTTTCTCTTTGTGTAAAACATTCTAATTTGCTTAAGTTCTCTGATTATATTAAGACTTTACACGAGCCAAATCACATGTTGATTGTGAACTGCTGCAGGACATATCTGCTACCTCATCATGGTGCGCAACAAAAATTACGTCTAAACAGTAAAAAAACACTTATTTTTTTATCACGCAAAAAAGCGTTTAAATTTTTGTATAAACAAGAGAATCAACCGTTGCGACGTGAATATTGCGTGCATGACTTAGTTGTTTATGTTGATCCATCCCTTAGTTATATGTCAAATGTGCTTAGTTTTTTATTGTGACTTTTAGGTTCGTGTTCGATATAACCCGTCATTTTAAAGAGACTTCATGTCTCGTCAGGCTTTATGCATCTGTTGTTCAATCGAAACTAGAGTTTGTCTCTGTAGTTTCGAACTGTCTGAGACAGACCAGAGGCTGCTAGTCTAGGACGTGTGCAGAGAAAGTTGGCACATATAGAATACGACTGTTATTACGGCACCCGGTTCTTTTGTAGCTTCGAGTCAATGTTACTTCGGCTAAACTTGCCGTTACTGGCGCCGGAATTTTCGAGATTATGTACTTTTGTTTAAAACTGCACATAGCAGAATACGTTGCCCCAGACTTGTTTCTTTGCTTTTTTTAGATGTACAGTCGGGGACAAAAGTCCCCAGGACGCGGGAGCTGCGACTGAAACGCATTTCTCTGCCATCTGCCGGCGGGTCGCCTGGTTTCGAGATAACACAAATGCGCATGCGCGTCCTACTGCGCCTGCGAACGGCTGACGAGCGTCTGCTACACATCCAGAAACTGGAGCTACCACCTGCGGCAATGCGCCGCATTTCGCCGTATCAGCGCACCTTGCTTTATAACTAGTTGAGCGTATCACTCGGTTGAGCTGCCGTGACTCCTTGCTTTACAGATGCCATGTCAGTAAGCGCTATCTCCGAGGCGGTACCACGCGCCCGATTCCGAGTTAGGCGCCCGCCGCAGAAGAGCGGGAAAACATACATGTTTGTAGGCACAGTAGGACGCGCATCCGCTTTTGTGTGATCTCGAAACCAGGCGACCCGCCGGCAGGTGGCAGAGCAATGCGCTTCAGTCGCAGCTCGAGCGTCCCGGGGACGTTTGTCCCCGATTGTACCTCCTGTGAATTGTCGTCACCACAACATTATCTACGTACAAGACATGTGTTAATTACCCACATTTTACAAATTTAAAGATATTTTATTGGACTGAGTGCGGTGGTTGACATTTTCGGGAAAGAGTTAGATCTGAAAAGTATAGAAATCATCCACATTTGATAACATCAGTGACCGGAATTTCTTTCTGATTTGTTATCTTCGGTTTTTTTTTTTTCTTTTTTTTCATGAACGTGTATGTGTGGGTATGAGTGTGTACCAGTACTAAGGCGTCGGTTGTTTCTGGACACAACACAAATAAATATCTAACGAATACCTAAAAATATAACGTTTAAAAATATAACAGGGACAGTTACGGTACCCTGTGTCAGAATAATCGGCTGAGTTTTAACAATCAAAAAAAAATATTCAAAGTTTACTCTTGCATCTCTCTTTCAAGAAAAAATTTATACCCATTCAATGAGATATTCGTATTTTATTACTTTATTGGCGGGTGGTAAATCGGCTTGGGTCTGGCGTTTAAAGATATGACAGAAAACACTATGCTTATCTAAGCTTTGTTTAACTTAGTAGCGGTTTGTGTGACGACGTGATTAACGAAAAAAAAACTAAAAAAACGTAACAAAAACCGACAGACAGAAGAGTAGTACACACGACAAAGGCTGACTGACAACTGACATTTTTATTTTATTGTGGGAAATTACACCGGCTCTCCACGCCGCAACTGATCTACGTTTTCATTTAGAGTCACTTGCTTTCGCACGTTTAAGTGCTTTCACAGTAGCCCAAAACTGTCTGTACGATGTTCGTGAATAATTGGTATCTCGTCGATTTTATAGGATGCGACTTGTGGCTGCGAAAAACCGAGTTGAAAACAATAGTGGATGACCTGGAAGAGGAAATTTTAAAACAAAAAGAAGATCTCTATAAGGAGAATAAGGAAACATTTGGAATCTATGAAAACTGCACTGCGAGAGAAGATCAAATAGCAGACCTAGAACTTTACGTAGAAGATGGCATTGAAAGATGGTTTCAAGACATCGCATGGAAAAAGATTTCCCTCGAATGCGTTCTCGCCTACATGATAACCTGCGGAGAGCCAGTATTTAGAGTTTACAATCCGATAACCTGTAATACCACACTAACAGGGCAATACCTGTCAATGTCTTAGAATTAACAGGCGCGTTTCTCAAGTGCACGTCGGTGGTGAGGAAAAGCAGTGTGTATGCAAAATTGACATTAAAAAAGCGTCTGCCACTGTGTAGTGTCTTGCATCCTTGGAAATAAAATGAGTTGGAAAAAGCACCGCTTTCATTCCGTTCTCACTGCAAAAGAAAAAGAAAAAGACACGCACGGTGTTTTGGCTAACTTGCGCCAAGACTTTAAAAACATGGTGCGCACTCCACGTTTCAAACAAACGCAGTATTGTTCAGTTGAGCGAGTCAAGTTACTTTTTTTAATCGGCCAAACTGGCTATGAACGGAGATAAACAAGCGAACTTTTTCAAACATTATTTTGTGCGCATCCTTTCAATACGAACGTTGTAGGACGCCTTGAAAACCTGTCCAAAGTGTCGTTTTTACTAAGGTAGCCTTTTTGTGTCTAATATTTTCAAGCGGTAAAAAAGAAACAAAAAAAGTGAAAGCCGTTTACAACTCCCTGTAACGCCGAATTAGAGCGCAGCTCTTGAGGAGGAGGAGGGAAGGGTACTGGGGGGGTCAAGTGACCTTGGGTGGGGGTCACGTGACCTAGAGGGGTCACGTGACGATGACGATGACGATGACGTCATCAGTAACGATGACGATGCGGATACCGATGACGTCATCAGTGATGATAACAATGACGATGCGGATGCCGGTGACGTCATCAGTGATGATGACGATGACGTCATAAGCGATGATGACGATGACGATGCGGATGCCGGTGACGCCATCAATGTCGTCACAGATGACGTCATCAGCGATGATGACGATGACGATGCGGATGCCGGTGACGTCATCAGTGACGTCACTGATGACGTCATCAGTGATGATGACAATGACGATGCGGATGCCGGTGACGTCATCAGTGATGATGACGATGACGATGCGGATGCCGGTGACGTTATCAGTGACGTTACTGATGACGTCATCGGGGGTCACGTGACCCCGGGGGTCACGTGACTTGGGGAGCCACGTGACTTTGGGTGTCACGTGACCTTGGGGGTCACGTGACCCTGAGGAAGGGGTCACGTGACCTTGGGGTGACGTTGGGGAGTCACGTGACCCCCATGACCCTTGGGGAGGGGTCACGTGACCTTGGGGTACCTTGGGGTCACGTGACCTTGGGATGACCTTGGGGGTCAAGTGACCTTGGGATGACCTTGGTTACGCCGACGCCGACGGCGACGGCGACACCGCTCAAGCCGGGAACGGGCCCCTAAGAGCTGCGCTCTAAAACTACATGGGCGATTTTTAGAGCGCAGCTCTTAGGGGCCCGTTTCCGGCTTGAGCGGCGTCGCCGTCGGCGTCGGCGTCGGCGTCGGCGTCGGCGTAACCGCGCGGTGCATCATGGGAAATGTCCCATAATGCACCGCGCGAGCCCCCCACCAAGGTCACGTGACCTCGTGGGGGGTCACGTGACCCCCCGAAGTCACGTGACTCCCCTGAGGTCACGTGGCCCCCTCCTCGAGGTCACGTGACCCCCGCCGATGTCGCGTGACCCCCCGATGACGTCATCGTCACTGATGACGTCACCGGCATCCACATCGTCATCGTCATCATCACTGATGACGTCACCGGCATCCACATCGTCATCGTCATCACTGATGACGTCACCGGCATCCGCATCGTCATCATCACTGATGACGTCACCGGCATCCACATCGTCATCGTCATCATCACTGATGACGTCACCGGCATCCACATCGTCATCGTCATCATCACTGATGACGTCACCGGCATCCGCATCGTCATCGTCATCATCACTGATGACGTCACCGGCATCCACATCGTCATCGTCATCATCACTGATGACGTCACCGGCATCCACATCGTCATCGTCATCATCACTGATGACGTCACCGGCATCCACATCGTCATCGTCATCATCACTGATGACGTCACCGACATCCGCATTGTCATCGTCATCATCACTGATGACGTCATCAGTGACGTCACTGATGTCGTCACCGGCATCCGCATCGTCATCGTCATCATCACTGATGACGTCATCAGCGACGTCACTGATGACGTCACCGACATTCGCATCGTCATCGTCATCATCACTGGTGAAGTCATCAGTGACGTCACTAATGACGTCATCGGTACCCGCATCGTCATCGTCACTGATGACGTCATCAGTGACGTCAGTGATGACATCATCGGCATTGGGGGTCACGTGACCCCCAAGGTAACGTGACCCCCCCTGGTTAGTTTAACCCCCCCCCCCAGTGCCCTTGCCTCCTCCTCCTCAAGAGCTGCGCTCTAATTCGGCGTTACAGGGAGTTGTAAGCGGCTTTCATTTTTTTTATTTAACTTTTATTTTACGGAATTAACGCCATAACCAACGTTACTAGAGCACTCATTTGGGAAACTCGCCGTCCAAACCTGGGCCGTTGGCGTCCACCGAGACCGAGCTAAATACGACAACGGCGCCACTCTTTATCATTTGTGTGCACTGTGGTCACATTGAGGTTTTTGAAAGTCGAGTGGCCGCTGCGGGAGAAATGGCGGCGTTGTGTTCGCCATTAGCTCGCTTCTGGAGGACAGATCGGGGCCACTTTTTTAGAGCGGTGCCTATGGCAGTTTCCACACTGAGTGGTTATAGTAACGTTGGTCATAACCATTGCAGTTCGCCAGCCGGTAATTACCGAGGACTATTCCTTTTTAAAAGTTCAAGTCTTACGCTGTGCGGACTATACAAGGTTTTGCATTTTAGAGCGCAGCTCTTAGGGGCCCGTTTCCGGCTTGAGCGGCGTCGCCGTCGCCGTCGCCGTCGGCGTAACCGCGCGGTGCATCATGCGAAATGTCCCATAATGCACCGCGCGAGCCCCCCACCGGGTTCACGTGACCTCGTGGGGGGTCACGTGACCCCCCCCCCCCGAGGTCACGTGACCCCCCGAAGTCACGTGACTCCCCTGAGGTCACGTGACCCCCTCCTCGAGGTCACGTGACCCCCTCCTTGAGGTCACGTGACCCCCCAGATCACGTGACCCCCGCCGATGTCGCGTGACCCCCCGATGACGTCATCGTCACTGATGACGTCACCGGCATCCACATCGTCATCGTCATCATCACTGATGACGTCACCGGCATCCACATCGTCATCATCACTGATGACGTCACCGGCATCCACATCGTCATCGTCATCACTGATGACGTCACCGGCATCCGCATCGTCATCGTCATCATCACTGATGACGTCACCGGCATCCGCATCGTCATCGTCATCATCACTGATGACGTCACCGGCATCCACATCGTCATCGTCATCATCACTGATGACGTCACCGGCATCCACATCGTCATCGTCATCATCGCTGAGGACGTCACCGGCATCCACATCGTCATCGTCATCATCACTGATGACGTCACCGGCATCCACATCGTCACCGTCATCATCACTGATGACGTCACCGGCATCCACATCGTCATCGTCATCATCACTGATGACGTCACCGGCATCCACATCGTCATCGTCATCATTCCTGATGACGTCACCGGCATCCACATCGTCATCGTCATAATCACTGATGACGTCACCGGCATCCGCATCGTCATCGTCATCATCACTGATGACGTCATCAGCGACGTCACTGATGACGTCACCGACATTCGCATCGTCATCGTCATCATCACTGGTGAAGTCATCAGTGACGTCACTAATGCCGCGACGTCATCGGTACCCGCATCGTCATCGTCACTGATGACGTCATCAGTGACGTCAGTGATGACATCATCGGCATTGGGGGTCACGTGACCCCCAAGGTCACGTGACCCCCCTGGTTAGTTTAACCCCCCCCAGTGCCCTTCCCTCCTCCTCCTCAAGAGCTGCGCTCTAATTCGGCGTTACAGGGAGTTGTAAGCGGCTTTCATTTTTTCTACATCGTCCACTGTGACAAGACGCGAAGGATTTTATGAGTAACAGAATCTAATATTAGTGATTTATATGTGATGCAAACTTCTTTGCCAGCTAATGCAGCAGGCAATTGTCAAGGTGTGCTCTGTGTGATCATTTTTACGTTCGGATTAGGCATGCGGATTATATGCAGCGTGCGGACTATAGTTTGGAAAATACGGTACATGGAACGTTTTAAATCTAGCAAAAAATCTTTGAACTTTCTTTTTTAACACTAAAAATATTATACACACGAAGGCTACCTTTATTTATGGAAATGACAGGATGGGATGTTGCTCATCTCACTCTAAAACTTTCGTATAGCGGGGTTTGCGTACAAATTAAGAGTTTAAAAGTTAGCTAGTATTAATCAGCGATCTTAGCATATCACAAGAAAAATCGGGAGTTGCACGAGAGGACTATGAACAATCCTGCATTGGTTCAACAAGCGAAGCTTGCGCCACCTTTCGTTTAAGTCTCGGCACAAGTGAACTGAAACATACTTTATTATACCGCGTTGCTTATCCCTCCACACCAAACCGCACGCCTTCCTCCCGCAACGTGTACAGGAGGCAGCAAGGGCCTTGCTGCGTCCAGGACTACAACACTAAATCGGTTTGAGACCCCGGGCTTTACTCTGTCTCCTTTGCTCATTGGCCTTCGCTACTGCAATTGAAACATTTTTCGTTTTTTCTTGTTGCTTTTTTTGTGAAAAACAAGAAAGAAGACGTGTCAATATTTTGTTTCATCTTGCATTGGATTCTTTACCTTGCCCAGTCTTGGCATAGTATGTTGATTCGGGGGTGGGGTGACATGGTCCTTTCCTTTTGGAATTAGGCACGATCTTTTCGTCTGGCTGCTTGCGTCCTTTGCGATGGTGCGTTTTCACTTGCGTTAGAATTCCTGACACCTAAGGAAAATCGACAGATCGAAAACCCGGATGTTATTGCGGTTTTTGCGCCACCGGCGGCAGTTCTCTAAATTGCTTTCGGAGTGTCGCGTCTGCAGCAAGGAGAGGCGAGATTTGTTTCTACGACGGCAGCCAGCCCTTCTTATTGCTCAGCTTAGATCAGG